AAAGAAACAAATGTGTGTGCGCTACCAAAACACAAACAAAACCCCAGAAGTATTTGCTTAGGTGCCTTAGGTCAATCTGAATGCAGGGGGGATGGTGGTGATTTACAGAGTCTCTGTGGCTGGTATGTGAAACACTCAGGGAGAAACTCCCAGAAAACCTAGCATTAACCTTTGAGACATGTTCATTCAGTGCTGAAATTTAAGGCAGATCCTTAGGTGCCTGATGAGATTTAATGTGATACAGAATCTAAAATGCAAGGAGAGAGTTTAGGCAGAGCATCTTATAAACCTCTGAGCCCACAGAAAATAAATACAGAGTCAAATACACAAGGCAAACAATAAAGTTAATACTGAGCAAAAGAAGATGAAGGGGCAGCGCTAGTGGTTTATGGCTCTTTGCATGAACTTGAAAGCAAGGGAGGAGTACTGACATCCCAGGCAAGCACAAAACAATGACATGACTCTCTTGACCTGAACCCTTCAGAGAGGTGATAAGTGCCATGGGAACAGAGGAGTGCTCATGGTCCCGGATGGAAAGAATTCATGAACAAATTCATTTAAGGTAGACTCATAAGCTAAAGAGGTGGTCGTGGTGATCTAAAGCAGTGAGCTCAGGTACAGGACAGTGGAACCTCACGTCCAGCAAATCAGGAGAGATGTCAGCTAAGCAGCAGTGGAAGGTGTCCTGAAGGTTTTAAAGGCATGATAGGTTCTGCTCTGTTGAGAAGGTGGTTACTGAAGAGGCAAGGAGCAAGATAATTGTGTAAAGGCTTGGGGACCTTATCCAAAAGCTTGGGTTCTCACCAAGGCACAGAACACACCCGAGGCAGAAGACTGCTGTGTATCTTCCTCAGTTTCTCTCTTTGGCAGGATGTAAAAGAAGAACTGCATCAGCTTTTACCCTTCTGGTTCTCTCCCCCATCCCACTGGTGGTGGAGTGTGTGAGCCACTGTGTGGTTCTTGGTTGCTAGCTGGGGTTAAACCACAACAGCAGGTTACAATCAGCATAACTCAGTTCTCTCACTGAAGTAGTAGCAGCTGGGGTGTCCAGAAAGCACAGAGAGAAGACCAGACATGTTGTAGTGACAAAGACTGTCTTATCTGACCTACATCAGCCACCTAGCCATGCTTTGCTAACATTTTACAAGGGCTGGTAGGACACTGCAAGCTGCTGCACACATTTTGGTATTAGCAGCACCCGAGAACAGCCACAGCATACTGTTGCAGCAGTAGAGGAAGCCTTGGTACTCAGTGGGAAAGGTCTATCAGCCAACTAGTTACTAAGAGGTGGGCTAGGTTGCTCTCTGGTACACAACCTTTTGAATATCTGGATAATGGCTAGAAATAGATGAGGTGGTGATGTGAATGACCTAGCTGTTGATGTCACCCATCCAGCCTGCAAAGTTTCTCTCATTGCCAGGTATGGCTCTGGAGCAGGACAGGCAGCTGAAACGTGATTTGACCTTTGGAGCAGGTAACTGTAAAGACTTCCAGAAGATGACAGTGAAATACAAATTTAGTTATTATGGAGATGCTTTGCTGTTCTGATGAGCAGTTTTATGCCCTCAGATATAATACGCTGAATGTAGCATCTCCTATCTTGGTGTCTTTCGGTATTCTGTATTAATTTATATACAAATCCCACAAGGTTTACACACTCCAATGTGACTGTGACTACAGCAGTATTAAATCAAGCTACAAGCTCACCAGACAGGCAGCCACCTATGGAAACCACAGCACAGAACCACAGAATATCCCGTAAGGATCAAGTCCAGCTCCTGGCTCGGTACAGGACAACTCCAAAATAGTAAGTTATGCCTCTCTCACATCAATTAAGACTTTAAATTGTGGCTCTGATTGACAGCAGGCATTACAGGTCCTCCCTCAGAAGGTTTTGCTGTCCCCACAGCATGCCCACATGCCCTGCCTCCTCTCTGGACTGTAAGCTGTATACACCTTCATTTCTGATGGACTCCAAAACGACAAAGTGGTGGAGAACGTGCACATGGACAACTTACCTGGAAAAACTTCAGTTCTGGCAACTTCTCTTCTTTGAATGGTTGACCTGTTTTACACACAGGCTGCAGGTGAGCCCAAGCAGTAGCACATCTTGTCTCCTACTTCACAACTTACCTGGAATGGGTCTCGATATCCTCAGGGCAGGGGAACTGCAGTACTAGTGTGTCACAGACCACTGCTCCAGGATGCCTCTGCAGCTGCAGAATGGTTGATAAGGGCCAGGCTGAACAACTGTGGCCACTCTACAGATGCCAGGAAAGGCCATTTAGCAAAGCAACCAGTGTCACTCGTGCTGGGTTGAAAAGGTAGCTCCTTGCCTAATGGTGCCACAGCAGCAACAGAACCAGAGCCTGATCAGTTCTCTAATTAAACAGCTTCAGAGATGTGAAAACATAGGCAAATCTGATCTGAACACTTCCATCCTTGGTGTGTTAAAAGAGTTGGGCTTACCTGACACTTAATTCCATGAGACTATGACGCCTCACCTGGGTGGGCTACAAGAGATGGAGAAATACCCTGATCTTTACTAAGTAGGCACATTGCAGACAGGTAAATTCTAGAGACAACCTACTGTTTACACACACCAGTTTCCAGATTCTCATGACATAGGAGACCTGTGTTTTTGCTGATGTGCACTGTTACCTGAATGCAGCCACGCTCTGTATACATTAAAATCTGGAATTATTCCAGATTGCCTGGAATTACTTTCATTAGTGTATAGGTTCCTTGGGGGACCAGGTACTCCATGTCTGTCCTGTCTGGCATCCCCAGCAAACCCAGGCTCAAAGCTAGGAAGTAATCAGCACCAATCCTTCAGCCACATAAGGGATACAGGGGCCTGTGTGGGTAATTCGAGCATGCTGGATCTTGCCTGGACAATACTGAAGGGTTTACCCTGTAAACCAATACTTAGGACACAATTAAAATGCAACTAAGGCAACTGAGCCATGTTTAGTACAACATACATGCAGCTCTCCTGGGATGCAGACTGATGGTTTTAAAAAATCAGCCCAGAGAAAGATCTAGCATGGAACACATTTTTTTCCTAACATCGTTTTTTTGACTCTTAACTCAAACCCACTTTTTTTAAAATTCTCCATCACTTCTCACAATCTATTGTGACTATATCTGACTATTTCCAATCTCTATGAATATACTATCTAAGTGTAGACATGTCCTGTCAGGCCACAAGCATTAGATGGTTAGTTGTCTTAATTACTACTTAGCATTAAAAGATGTGCAGCTTAATGTTTTACCAGTTCTTTAAAGCTTCATAAAAACATAAACAAAAATATTCCAACTTCCATCATTTTGATCAAACCCAGTAACTTAAGGATAATATTTCTTCTGTTAAATATAATGCTCCAAGTACTGAGAGTCCAAAATCCAAGATTCCTGCAAGCCGTATGGAAGTATCTGAAAGTTGGGCAGAGTGCAGCATCAAACAACACGAGATCCAAGCACTCAGTGCCTAAAGGAATGGAAAACATTAACAATGTTCCTTCAATCAACTCAGAAGAATGAATTCCTGAGATGGATCCTGGAGGACATGAAGGTGACTATAGGGATAAATTCTGAGAACTTGATGCTCCCAAAGTTTGACACCTTGGGATGGATTTAGATTCAGGCTAATTAAGAAAACCTACAAAATTATAGATTTCTTGTCACCATGTCTGTTCTGACACCAAAGTTGCAGAAGTCAGGCCTCAGACAGGTCCTGGGGACTGTCACACTGCAGCAGCACATTGCAGCTAATCCTGCAGTGACCAGTGAGCAGCAGCTCTTGGCCTCTTGGTAAAATCTACCGCTGAGAACTGCCCTGCCACAGACTTCTCAAATACACTGCAAAAACTCAGCCTTAGAGAGTGATTATACTTACTGAGGAAAAGATGGCTAATCATTGTTCCCTAATGCACACTCTTATTTGAACTGAAATGGCTAATAGGTACCAACAATGTCCAACCACAAGAGCTTTGACTCGTGGTTGGCACAGAATCTGCCACGCGACGTATGACGTTCAGGGTGTTAACCTCCTCCTGGATGTGACTATGTAAGATCCCCCCCTCACGTTTTCATTTCTCTCATTTCTGTCTGTAGGTGATACATCATGATTGGTGCAACGCTGGTGCTTTGAATTAGCTCTTGAAAATCCATGGGAGAAAGGGTCCCTTGTTTGCAAAGGAGTGGAATAAACTGCAGGGAGCTCTGCTGTGCAAAGCCACCTCCCATCTCCTGCAAAGGGAGTGAGGCAGCAGCATATAACGCCTAGCTTGGAATTAGTAACTACTGCTATCTAGATTTTTGGGAAAAGGGGAAAAAATGTAGTCAGAGTTAGGGCCAAAGTTTAATTGCTGTTTTTCAATTACTAGAGTAAGTTTCAAAAGATGGTTTCCTTGTGAAGAGGTTTTCTACAACCATCTTTCCTTCACTGAAACTGGCATTCCAAAGGGAATCAGAGATTTTTTAAAAATACCACTAATGCCATTTTCCTTCAGCTTTGCTTCCTGCTTTTTTATTTTTCTAAGTCAGCTGAGCCAATGTACTGGTATTCCTAAATCATCCACCTTGCATTTTGATGAGTTAGTTACCATCATGGCTCTGAGTGATGAAATTTCAAAACCTCTTTGGAATACTAATTCCTTACTGAGAGGTTTCATTCTTTTATTTCATCCTATTTCCCTGATTTTCCTCTCAAGAACTGCTGATGTAAAATTTAATATAAAATATTGAGTCACAAAATAGTATTGCTTTTATGCACATTGTGGCAAGAATTATTTTTTTCTCCAATAAAACTATACCAAAATCCTGAACATATTAAGAACTGTGATGCAGAATAAAATTACACAGTGTGAAACAGGTACCAGCACAACAGTGAGATTATATTACATCAAAAAATTTTAATGGTCCCAAATATATACTCAACAACTAAGCATACACTCAGGGGGGCAAAAAAAATTATGACACAAAAGTGACCACATCTAGAATTCCACTCAATCTTTAATCAAGAAGGGACAAACAAATCCCCCACTTCGAAAAAAAATTCTGCAGTTTAAAGGGCAAAGGGAACAGATTTTAAAAAAAAGAGGAAACTTTCTATTCGGCCCTTCCCCCGCAGAGGTTTTTAAAACCTGTTGTAGCTTGAGTAAAACGTTCAGAATGTATGGTTTCAAAGGCAGGTCTCTTTTATACAAAGAAACTGCTGGCATTCTTAACAGTGAAGAATTGTGGCAAACCCTGCCTCTTCTTCAGAAGTCTCATACATGGTCCAAGAAAACATATTCTGATTGTAGCAACTGACCAGCCAATCCAGAGTTCCACTGACAAAACTCCTGCCCTGTTGGCTTTTTTTTTTTGTTTTGTTTTGTTTTCCATTTCCTTCCCTGAGAAAAGGGCAACGTGTGGTCCAAGCTGGAGAGCTCAAAGGCGTCAAGTCTTTCCGCTAAAGAAGTCCTTCTCCTTCTTCTGCTCCTTTGAATTGGCACTTGATTGGCAGAAATCCATTTGTATAGGTTGCTCTGTGTCACACACAGGAATTCACAAAAGATTGCTGCTTTGCTGTGGGTTTGTTTTCTTTTTGGATAAAACATCCTTCCCCAACCGGTGATGTTCTTCAGCAGTTGCCATTATGATGACTCAAGCTTTGCTTTCTTTGACAAAGGTAAAGTTTCCTCTTTATCTTCATCTTCATCGTCCTCTTCATCATCATCAGGATAATCTACAAGCCCAACGAGGCCTCCCTACAAAGACAGACACAATCACTATAACGAAGGAAATGTTTGCACACCGTGCACTCCACATTTGTACTGGAACAGAACACTGCCACAAGCATTCTGGTTCAGGAGGGTCTGAACAAAATGGAGCAGAACAAAAATAAATCCTTCAGCATCAATGAAAATGACGTTACCTGAAAAATGTTTAAACGAACAAATCCAAGACAGGGTTTTAACTATGCAACTGGAACTATTTCCAGCTGAAATCTAAGGAAGAGCCAGAAAATCTACTTAGTTTTGCTAAGTGTCACCACAACCCCATCTGTGAAGATGGAGTTATTTTCACTGAGCACAGCTGAGTGCAGGGAGCAATCTCAAAGCACTTCAGAAACAGATGCTGAATATCCTGCAAGTTTCATTTCTGAATTACAATACTTTCAGAACACAGTTTGTCTTCACAAAAGTTAAATTGTAGTAACTTAAGTTTTTTTGAATACTGTAACTGAACAAGGTGTACAGGCTATAAAGTTTAAATCACTCATCAGCTGAAAATGAACACACATCTAGTCACATTAAAAACTCCCTCATATTGCAAATAACCTCAGATTTTAAGGTTAGGCAGCTGTGGACCCATGAAGCAGCAGCACGAACTCCTGAAACTTCCTCTAACTAAACTATGTTGTACTTTCTGAAGCTCAACCAGCACTTGACTAGAATGGCAGTTACTGACACGTCACTCAAAGGTCTTATTACTTATTCGGGTGCTTAATGATGGACATCCAAACCAGAAAGTTTCAGCCAACTATACCCCAAAATGCAACTCCATAAACAATTACAAATGTTCTGCACAGCCACATACAACATAAGACTGAGTATACACCCCTAAAACAGCAGCATCAGATAATGAATAAACACCCCAATTTGAGTACTGTTCCTAGTGTGTGACTGTAGCACATTCCATTGAAAGAAAGTAGCTTGTGCCTGGACCCTTGAGTGGTTTCTCAGCATGCTCAGTGGAACCTGAACATTCTTCCTCTGCCACCACTTTGGAGCCAATACTGTATGCAATATGTTCCATATGTAAAGACTCCATTTCAGACTCAAGGAATTATCCTGTCTGGAAGAGAACAAGCCTCCAGCAAAAATACAGAAACAGACTGAACTAATTTCCAAGCCAATTCCATCCCTTCTAAGAAGCACTCGACTAACTCCTAGGTTATACAAGGAGTTTCCTCCACAGAGGAAAGTGTCCTTCAGTTCTTCCGTCAGCCAAACTTCTCACTCAGGTGTTTTCAACAGAAGGCAATCCAAATGCAAACTCTGAGCCATGTTCAACTAGAAGAAAGAAGAAAACCTAACCCCCCATTTACCTTTCCTAGAAGTGAGGTGAATGAGCAACATGGTGGCAGAGAAAAACAAGGATAAATCAGAGTGATTCTGAGAACTGACAGAGACACCTGACCTTTCAGCAATGGAAACACTTGTTATGAAAATAACTTCTCATTCTCATCTGAACTATGCTGTATCAACACTACCTCATCTGCCCCCCAGTGCTGGAAACACACCACTCACTACTGCCTGACTCCATTTGAATTGTCTTTCTTAGCTAAAAATCTGATAAAATCCAAGTGTCCTAAACTGCATTTAACAAAGGTAGCTTTGAATATTCACTACAAGTTAGAATGACTCTTCCAAAAAAAGGAGGTTTCTTCTTCTACTTCAGTATGTTCCAACCAAAAAGCATATGTTAGTTCAAAAGGTAAATGAGCCATGCTAGGATATTAAAAATTGTTGACTTTTTGGCTTACAGCAACCACCGCCCAACACACTTTATTTCCTTCACATATGCCAGTTATGTAATCCTGAACAATATTAAAGTGGTGATAGTAGAAATCCTCACTGGGGGTGGCAGAACATTGTGAAGTCCAGCAAAACTTGGCAATATTTCTGAAGCATTTCTGTATTTTTACCTGCCAAATATCCCTGTGCAATGTAACAAAAAAGTGTGCATTTCCCAGTAAATGTCACTGCTCAGAGCAGCTAGTGAAATGCTTCCTACTTGAAGAGTCAGGGCATTAAAAGAGCTTTTATTTCTTCTATATATGGCAGATCCTGTTAAAAATGCTGAAGGCCAAATGAGAATTACACACAAATCAGAGAGTCCATTACTGCTTAACGTGTCAGAATTCACACCAACTTGAGAGAGATGCTAAAGCAAATTCCTGCTCTGTAACAATGAAGTCAATCTACAACTATTCAAAATTACCTTAGTTGTAATAGCTGCCATCTGAGATGTGCTTTTAGAGACTGATCCTGGTGACCCAGGGGACCCTGGAGACCCAGGAGACCCAGGGGATCCAGGCAGATTACTTGCAGATGACTGGCTGGGAAGGTTAGATTTTGTACCACTGGAAAAAGAAAGCTTGAAACTTGGGCTCTGACGACCTGAAAGGTTAGTTTTCAGAAGAACTTCCTTTTCTTCACTCTCTTTCACTACAGAGAAAAAAAAATGAAGCAAAAGTAAAGCAACATGATTGAGTGAAACATTTAATTACAAATCACTTCACTGTGTGGGAAAAGGCTCAACACTTTATATACAACTCAGTAAAATAAGTCATCATAGACTTTTTTTTCCATAGCACTATACACCTGCCAGCTGTTGTCACTGGCCAGGAATGAACACTTTTGTTCTACCAATGTTATCACCTAAACATTTACGTAGAGAATTCTGAATTATAAACCTGATTAAGACCTGGGAAAACTTGACTATCAACTAAGATCTTCATTCAAATGCTTTAAGAAATCAACAACAACATTTCCTATCATTCACCTGTCAAAGACAACAGAACTGTGTCAAAGGGGTTTTCCACCAACTCGGTGTCACAATTTCACAGTCTACAAACTTCAGAATTAATACATGCAGTTCCTTCATTGCAGCAGGACTAAATCACACAAGTTAAGGCCTCTGCATAAGCCACATGGCATTCATCATCTCACCACGTACATTTTTTCCTTTCCATGAATTTACTGATAGGGTCCATAATATCCTCATCGTTTTTCGGTTTGTCAGAAGGGGGCACCACTGCCTCTCCATCCTCCATATCATCCTCATCGGTGTTGAACCACATCTCCTCCTCATCCTCCAGGGTCCTTGCATCCCTTCTGTATCTGTGGTTTCTCAAAATGGAGCGCATGCTGCGGGGCAGGAAGTTTTAAAACTTAGACTCAAGGATCAACTCCTGCTAATGATACAACTTCTACCCGACATTTACAGTGACAGCTACATGTACATGCACTGCAGGGCAATAAAAACACCAGCAAATCATTCTGTAATGTGAACCTTTGTATTTTCAATGCAAATATAATTACAAAACTTCCTGTATAAAGAATCAAAGTACAACCCTGCTAACAGCACATTCAGACTATTCCATCCATACAAAGTCCTGTAGCTTACAAGCAGCACTATTAAAAGTCATTTCAATAAATCTCACTCAAGTGTTGCATTCAGGCTTGGTTTACCAGTTTGCACTGGCAAATAAAAAGTTGCAAAACAAAAAGTTTAGAAATTATAGATTTTTTTTCTCTGCAAATACTTAGTAACCTGTCAGTGTTTGGGGTCCAACATATTAAAAATAATCAAATCAAAATCTAACTTAAATATAACTCCAGTTTAAAACAGACACATTAAGACAACACCTGTCTCTCTCTGCCACATCCACCCGTTGAAACGGTTGGTCACTATCAGTATCTTCCATTCTTCAGAGCCTCAGACACAAAGTGTTACTTCCCTCTCCCCATCTAAACTATTACTAGTGTTAGTTTACCTCAGCTCCACCTTCCTTTCCTCTTTTCTCAGGAGCAGTACTATGGCCTGGGAGCAGAGGGACAGGAATGTGCCCCCTGAAGAATGGGGGAGAAGTGGAAGAGTGGTTGAAAACATTCTTTTGCTAGATGTTGATTTTACCAGTCAACTTCCCACAGAAGCACGAAACCCTTGATGAAGCACTGCTTCACAGTTCACTGGCTGACATGTAATATTTTCCAAAAAGTCTCTGCTACTGGGATCAAAATGCTAATAATACAATTGAGATGTTCTATTGAGAGAAAAGGTCTTGCATTACTGATTACTCGGAAAAATTAGGAAATAACAAGGTATTGAATAAGAATGCAAATGTACTTTAAAAAACTAAATCTAGTTCCAAGTAAGTTCCTTGCCAGCATTATCACCTGGATCTGTACAGACTGCATCATCATACACTGCATTTCAAGTTCTGCTAACAGTGCAGAACTGTGATTTAAGTGGAACTCTTCTGAAGTTCTGCAGCTCATGTCAACAAGACTTTGGTCTCCTTCCTACTGAACTATTCTCTGCTAAAATACATAAACAGATTCTTGTTATTTTTGCATTTTATTGTGTCTGGGTTTTCACTTAAGGAATTATATGGACTGTGACAGGACTTGTGCAGTGACCATGCAAGATGCAGGAAGCAGGTTGACTGGGCTGACTGAGCTGCAGAGCCCTTGAAGCTCTAATTTCTGTTGGATAAACTCAGGTAGCACAACTACACACAACCACTTAGCTCAACCCAAGCCAAGGAAAGACTTATGTTTTACTTGCTGTACTGGCTGGGAACCACTGAAGACAGCAGCTGGGTGCTCTTTCCAACACATGCATTCATGTAAGCAAGAACCATAGGCTTGAATTTCACAGCTCTTTGAGTGATAAGCTTAGCTGCCACAAGCCAAAATAATAACACCTCACCTGTAAAACATTTCAAACCTGCAGATCCTGCACATACTCTTCAAAGTGCTTCAGTATTTTAAAATAAATCTACAATTATACTCTCATTTTAATTTTACAAGTCTCAAATTTAAATATTGATTAAAAAAATCTTGTGGCAAGAATTAAAATACAAGTCTGAAATTTCAAGATGTCCTAGTAGAACTACTTGGGATTAATTTTTTCATGTGTTTTGCACCTAATTCTGCACAGCAGATGAAGAACATGTCCTGCAGCAATCCATTTGGTTTTAATGAAAGGGAACATCACTGAATAGCCTCATCATCTAATGACAAGGAATATCATCTGCCAAAAAAAATAGAGTAAAAAAGGCCTAAACTTCCTGTTTTTGTACAGCCCAACCTTTTAACCTTGGGTAACTATGTACTAAGGAAGGGAACTTTTGCTCTGGCAAACACACAGAGCAATTCAAGTGTTACATCACTTTTTTTTTTACTCCATCAGCAAATCTAACAGTGACAAAAGAGCATTCTCTAAAATTTTCTTTGTATATTCTATTTCTCAAGCATTTTGGTAAAGTTTGTCTAAATATCTACACCCAAACCTTACTAAAAGGACTGAAATGTGAATTGTTGAAGGAAAAAGTCCACAGAATGATTAATTTATAACTGAACAATCTTTCAAAGCAGCAGTGGAAATGCTGTTTCAACAAATGAGCCCCTGACACTTGCTAGGCTTCCAGCCCCATTACAACAGTGTACATAAGTTTAGGATATGACAAACTGCATTATGACTGGGGATCCAGCAATTAATGTTAGTTGAAAGTTGATCAAAAATCTGCAGCCACACATTTGAAAATCACACTTTTAGTCCAGTGAACTCACCAATGCACAAAATGCAGCAGGAGTCTAACCTAGTTACATTTCCCACGATAGAGAACACCCACCAACACCCCGAGAACAGAATTAAAGCTGTAATACACTAAGAAAAGCATTTAGTGCATTTTACCTGTCAAGTTTTGGATTATCTTGTCTTTCCCTTTGCTGCTCAAATCGTAGTTTCAGTCCTTTGAATGTCTGCACATAATCTACATCTTCCAGTGCCTTCCAGTAATTTTCAATTACATGAGCTGTTAATGATTTTATATCTTCCTACAGGAACACACGAACATAAAGCCACTTATTTTCCTTCAAATTGATTTATTTAATACAATAAAAAGGTATCAAATGAGAAATTATTTTTAAACGTCACAGTAAGCATTGTATTAATTACCTTGTGCAAAAATGAGTATTGTGTATATGAGTGTACTTAAAATCTAGAGTGTCAAATATTTGATAAGCCAAACAAAATGAATTTTCTAGCAGTATGTCCTACGAAACACATGACAGAACCTAAAACCCAACGAAAAATCATACCAAATCCAACTCTAAAACGTTTTTCCCAGTGTACCTTATAAATATTTTTATATGGATTGATTAACTGGTACCTGCTTAATTACAAAATATGCTTATGAGACACAGACTTAGCATTCGTATTGTTTCTTTCCTTGCTATAAACAAATTACTTATTTAAAATCAGTTATTCAATGCATTTGTTTAGGATGAGAACAAGAAAGGTATTTTTCACCAGAAACCAACATCAAGTTTTCCCTTTGTGGTCACACAGTGCTGGTCAAGGTCCCTTACAAAAGCTTCCCAACTTTCTGCTATTTCAGTTTAGCACAGGTCTGCTCACTGCAGCAGGAAAACTGCTCCTGTTCATTGCTAGGCTGTCTTAACACTGCACAGCCCTTGGAACACACTGCAGAATAAACTCCTGAATTCCCATCTAGTAAGGCCAAGCAAAGTAACATGAATCTTAATACACTGATGATTTTCCTTCTTGGTTATGTGCTCAGAAGTCACCTCCTGTGAATGGTAATGCACCAGGAACAACAGAACACTTTTTAACTATTTGCTATCTTTAAAAATAAACCTGGATGAAAAAAAGATGACAAAAACTATTGACAGATACCAAGAAGTGCCACCTGGGTATCTGTGTGAAAAGGAGGATAAGAACATGACCTGTAGAATCAGCACCCAATCTCATGGAGTGTGGAAAGACCACATATGGTGGTTTGACCCTGGCTGGACACCATGTGCACACCAAAGCCACTCCATCCCTCCCCTCCTCAGCTGGGCAGGGGACAGAAAATAGAACAAACAGCTCAAGGGCTGAGATAAGGACAGGGAGAGCTCACTCAACAATTTCTGTCTTGGGCAAAACAGACTTGACTTGGGGAAATTAACTGAATTTATTACCAATCAAATTAGCATAGGATGTGAAATAAACCCAAATCTTAAAAACGCTTTCCTCCCAACCCTCCCTTCCTCCTGGGCTCAGTTTTACTCCTGATTTTCTCTACCTCCTCACCCCAGGGGCTCTAGGGGATGCAGAATGGAGGTTGCAGTCAGTTCATCACACATTGCCACTCCTGCTCCTTCCTCCTCAGCTGAAGGGCTGGCTCCTCACACTCTTCCCCTGACCCAGTGTGGGGTCCCACATGTCCCTTCTCATGGCAAGAAATCCTCCACGAACTTCTCCACTCTGAGTCCTTCCCACAGGTGGCAGTTCTTTATGAACTGCTGCAGTGTGGGTCCCTTCCATGGGGTGCAGTTCTTTAGGAATAGGCTGTTCCAGCATGGGTCCCCCATGCAGTCACAAGTCCTGCCAGCCAACCTGCTCCAGCATGGGCTCCTCTTTCCATGGGGCCACAGGTCCTGCCAGGAGCTGCTCCAGCACAGGCTTCCCATGAGGTCACAGCCTCCTTTGGGCATCCACCTTCCCAGTGTGAGGCCCTCCACAAGCTGCACGTGGATTTCTGCTGCACTGAGGACTTCCATGGGCTGCAGGGGGACATTTGCCACACCATGGCCTTCACCATGGGCTGCAGGGGAATCTCTGCTCCGACCTCAGCAAGTGGCATGTTCATTTTGGAGCCAGCTGGCATTGGCTCTATTGAACACAGTGGAAGCTTCTAGCAGCTTCTGTGGAAGCCACCTCTTTAGCCACTGCTCACCAAAACCTTGCCACACAAACCCAATGCACCACGGCACAAGTCAGGGCCACCTATATAGATTAACTTTTTCATAGCTTCAAACCAATTTTTCAATCAACATTTCCAGGTCATCTCAGTCTTGAATTACCTTGAGTCCCAACTTACAATAGGAAGAGGTCATCAGCACAACAGATTTCAAGTGGTGACAAAGCCTGGGGACTTACTCCTCCACAACTGCCTGCACCCTAGCTTGGCCCCACTTACTACATTTACAGTCTGCACAGCATCTTGTCAGATTCTGGATGCAAACAACAGGGAGCAAACAGTGCTGTGCAGACAGCCAAATAGGCATGAATATTTAAGAGACTCCCCACGGAAGGAACTTTGTAGCACTCCATTAATCTAATCAGAAGAGACTGGTACCTCTTCTGTGTATTTCCATATTCCACTGAATTGACATTACAGAGCACAGCTAAATTTGATGGGTTTGTAGCAGTACTTCCAAATTACATTCCTGTCACAACAAACCCATCCAATCTGCATGATGAAACTTGATTAGTGCTGCCTTTACAAATCTGGCACTCTGAGTACACTACAGAGGGAATTTAATTTTCAAGCAGTGGTACTGTTGGCATGTAAGAGAGAACATGGACAAATATGGAACAGTGATCTATAAGAAGGTTCATTTAAATACAGCATCATATGGTCCTGTTATGACAGCATAATTTAGGGTAAATGCAAAAAGTAAAGTCATCCTGAACTACAAGACTAAAGAGTAACTATGTTCAGCATGTGACAGCACTCACCACTCTGATAAACTCGAACATCTCTATGATGGCAGAGTTCATCAGGTTGTAACGGGAACCATTGTTTAGAAATGCTTTGACCACAGGTTCAAACAGAAAACTTTTCATTATGTAACGGTTGTAGAATTCATCCTTTAGCCCAATTATCTTCCTCTTGAAACGAAGGGCACCTGAAACAGAAGTGTGGTCAAAAGAATTTTTAACTTTCAAAGAAAAATATACTTCAGTTCTTACACAGCATTGCACTACTAGAACCAGGTAACACCTTCAGCTGTTCTCTGCTTCTCAACAGTCTCAACTATACACCTGAATATTATTTATCTGTTTTATCATCAAGAAATCCTCCATCATAAGTGTATATGTGAAACCACTTCTGTTCAGGGAAGAAATTCTACAATATTGTTTCACTATATTACTACGAACATAAAGGTGTATTTTTGATTTTTAAAAATTACTAATGGTAAAGGCATTTCCTCAGTAAAAGAACTGGGAAATTTACTTAGCATTCCTATTGTTCAAATGTAAGTTTTGTTACATTTAATTAGGCCTATTTAATCAGGATGTAAACTATCTCATTTAAAAACTGAGAAATGACATTTTCTTCACACACATAGTAAGGCAAGCCTTAATTTACAACCAGTTTAAAGGTCTGAAGCTCCAAAGTGTACACAAGTAAAGGAATGTCCAAGCACATTGCTATAAGAAGCACATTTTGCTTAGCAACTAGGTGTACACAAAGATTATTCAAGGGTTCTAAAATCAAGCTCAGGTTACTGAGTTACAAATTTAAAAGGTACTTATTTTATGGTACTGCTCTGTCATCTTAAGGCTTTGTTTAGCTCTATGTGCACAACAGAATTATGGAAAATAATCTCTTACTTGCCTCCAGAATTAAGTGACACCACTTGGCTCTTACAGAGCTGAGCATGGACAAAACAATACCAGAGTCTGAAGAGCAGCACACTGAACCTCTGTGTGGTGTAATGCAGTCAGGTAACCTCTAAGTACCTCTGGTAGTTTGTGTTAAAAAAATATCAAAACTAACAATGGTTCTCTCAGTATATTCAGTATTGATGTACCATCTTTTCAACTCATCTTTCCATTGAGATGAAGAAAAAACCTTTTTCCAGGAAAAAAGATATCTTCAAATGCAAAATGATTTACTCATGCTAGCTGACCTATCTATAAACTGGTATGAGAAACACAGGCTGTAGCAGTAGAATTTCCGTATTCAGTCATGATCTATGAACATCCTTCTTCCAGCAGAGTGAAGAGACACAACCCTTCACATTCAAAGATGCTAGTTTATTCCTCAGCAGGGAGACTTACACAATGCCAAGAAAGCATGCTTCGAGGCCATGAGGACGAGAACCCTTCGCAGGATGTCTTTGTTAATGATGTAGTTCTTGATGTGGTAGGTGTGATGTTCTACACAGAAAGTTAGCAGTTCCAGTATCAGTGCCAAGAGCTGGGCTGTCTGAAAATCATCTGTAACAGGAAACAAAAGCAAACCAGTTAAACATATCTACAGTGTTGCCTTCAGAAGTTAACTTCAAATATCCAACTGCAGTCTGGTAAACATTTCCAAGTTCTTGTATATTCCCACAGATAGTTTATGGAACATGCTGCAAGGTATGTTTAGTCTTTCACAAACAGAAATTGAACAAGCTTATTACATGCTTTGTATTTTCTACAAACACAGATATGGTAAGAAACACTCTTAAACTATAGGAACGATTACCTATTTCTTAAATTGGTGTTTGAAGGTTCAGACTACAGAACTTAACACTAACACAAGTCTCATTATGGTGTCCACATGTCTATATCATAGAGTACTGCCCTATATGCAGTGCCTTGATAAAAGTTTGTACCAAAAATGCTATCTATGATGCCTTTTAACAGAAGTACTATGCAAGAAATAGCTCAGGCTCTTTTAATACTTGTGCTAAGTACTGCTGAATTTTATGCTTGTGCATTATTCTAATACCCAAATCATGACTCAGCATTTTACTCTGAACTATGTATAATAGTCTCAGACTCACATTAAGACAGAGAATGTCCTCGGACAGTTACTCTGCTTTAAACATTGACATTCAACAGCCTTGATGTGCCCAAAATCCAGAGTGTCATTACCTTTGCTAGGCTTGTCCTCTGTAGTATTGGCCAATAAAGGGGCTGTCAGAACATGCATACAATGTTTGTAGAAGAAACCCAAGAACTCTGTCTTTTCTGTTTTCTAAAGAATGAAAAAAATCAAACATGTAACACATCACATCAAATACTCCTGAAAACCCCAATGTAGTTTCATTTGAAGGTATTTACTTACGTTGGCAGTGGCAAGCATGTTTTCTGGATCAACTAAAGTACGAAGCAAACCCATGAGCAGCACTGCCCCTCCAAGTTCTGGATCTGTGTCACAAATCATGTGTTCTATAATGAGGTTAATGAGTAATATATCCTAACGGGGGGGGGAAACAAGAAGACAAAAAGTCAATTTTAATGCTACTCCCTTGCCCCAAATCTGAAATAATCTTCTGAAAGTGTTACTGCCTGGTGAAAAATGGTATTGTAGCAAAATTCTGTAAAATGCCAACAGCCACCAAACAAAAACACCCAAACTGAAAAAACCAAATTAACTTTATGTGCCACTGATACACTCTGATCAGTGGTTCAATAGTAAGAATGCAAGCAGTGAAAACGAATTTTTCAAAGCAACTACAAATGGTTATGAAATTAACAATCTCATTTAGAACTTAATCTGAACTGAAACACCAAAAAATAAAAAGCACAGAGGCAGATCCTTAACAGCCTCAAAATTCAACTGATTTCTGGATGCACTTTCAGTGTACAGAAGTTTTAATTTGTATCCCCCTTTACAATACATACCAAAAGATTTATTTTCACAAATAAACAACAGTACATTTTATAAAGCTGTTGAACTTCATGAGGTTATTTTCACCTAAAAATAACCCCAACATGTATTTGCAGAAAACAAGAATAACCCATAGAAGTAGAAAATAATATTTACATTTCACTACAGTTGCTTGGTTACCACTGTCCCCCCCAGAAGAGGACAGTCATCAGACTCAAGTGGCTGAAACCACCAGCAGTAGCCACTGCCCAGCTGCCCCTTGCTTTCAATACAGAGGGAGCAGCACCAGCAGCTTCCTGTTCTCTGGCATGATTTTAGCAGACACAAGAAAAAAAAATTAACTATCTCCTCTATGGAAAAGGCAGCACAATGTTTTTACTCCCCTGGATACCACTCTGGATTACCTTTCTTACCACTGCTTGTGTGCTAATGTTTTGTGTTAATCAGCTGCAGAGGATCTCTGGGAAATCTCTGTCAAAAAGTGCTCTTAAACACATAGGACCATAATTCCACTTCCAACGTGTGTGATGATAAACTGAACACAGGTTTTTTACAAGTAAAAATAAAAACACATGCAGGTGCAAATATCAAGACTGAATTTTATATTTCACATTTTAAGGAAGCCATTGATCCAAAACACTTAGTTTTGTCTAGATGACAGCCATGTTAACCTGCTTTATGGTAACCTGCTTTACTTACAATGCAACAAGTGTTTGTGAAAAGGTGAACACTCAGCTCACCTAACAGCACTTCTAAAGTCAGGGCAGCTCAGAGTCCTGTCACTGTCACGACTGCATTCCATATTTCTTTGAAACTAGGGCTCATGCCATTCATAGAGCCCTAACTATAAACCAGTAATTTCTAAAAACAATACACACATTTCTGGGGATCTCTACTTACATCATCATTCTGCTGTGCTTCCTGCATTACAAACTCTCGTACCATGGATGGGTTGTATTCAACCAAATATGAGAAGATATCAGTGGCTGCGCTTCGAACTTGTGCATCATCCATACCCTGCAACAGCCACATGAAATCATTTATGTTTCCTTGAAAAGCTTACACAGAATGAAAAACAGAAAACATACAGCTTTAATTCCTGCTCACAAGTCATACCTGACTATAGCTAAAACTCAATCAACACACTTCTCTGTATATTTGACACCTGTTGTGCAAAATAAATTATGGTTTCCCTGTCCTTTGATTTATTTCCCTATTTTCTTACTTAATTGTAACCATAAAGCACGTAAAGATAGGAAAGCAAAGGAGAAAACAAAACCAGAAGAATGTCAGGGCACTTAGCAATGTCATATTGTAACTACTTTTACAGTTCTACAAAAACATTTTAAACACTCTGAATCACAAGATGAGACAAGACAAAAACAGCAAACACTTCAGCAAACCACATGCTGAAGTTACTTTTTAAAAAAACCTTTCTGGAGGTAAACAAAACCTTTCTGGAGATAAACAAAACTGTTGTGACAAACAGAACTGAAATGACTTACCAATATGACTTCTAGTGCAGGCAGTATGCCCATATTTGACAAGGTTTTGAAAAATGCATCTCTGTTTTGAGGCTGCAGTGTTTGTGAGAATGCACAGAACTCTTTCAGAAAATTTACCTGAAAACCAGGAATGTACTAGTCAGTAATCAAAAAAAAAAAAAAAAATATGCACATGTCACTTTGTAGTGACTGTCCCTTTCATGTACATTTTTCATGTCTATTCTTACCAATTCCTGCCTTTTCTCCTCATCTGTGGCTTCATCTGTTAGTTGTGCAAACAAGTCTGTCAGAAATTTTTCATCTTCCTACAAAGGCAAAACAATATCATTTGTTTATTTGACAATATCAAAAGGCATCTGAATACAATGTAAAGTTCTTCTCAACTATGCCTCCTGGAATTGAAAGAACATATGCTCGTACACTGCAGTCAATTATACCAGCTTCAACTTTCTAATTCAATTGTCAGACGAATTATATGAATCTTGGTTTTGAGCTCAAATCATGTACAGCACCACTGCACCCACCACCAAGTCATACTCAGTTAGGACATATCTTGTGCTGCCTTTCAGCTGTTTTCTACTGCAACTCTCATCACTTTGCCTAGGACTTCTTCTCTAACTTCCTTCCCCCTTGTCACATGCCTGTCCCTAAACCACACTACAATACCCTGGCTTCAACTGTTTGTGTGCATTTATAAACATGATCTTCCACACAGTCCTACACACACACGCACGCACACATGCACACAGGTATCTTTGGAATGTGATGAGATCTCTGCAGCAGAACTAAAGCAAGGACACAGTGAAGGGCATGAATGAGGTGAGATTCTTTCCCACCCCAGTGCTGTGAAAAGGGTGAATTCTAGAAACCAAATCAAAATCCATTCTGTTCTTTTTCATGCTGCTGTACCTCAGCAAAACTACAAACAGCAGCAAACACATTACAAATGTGTATTTGGATTGAAAGCAGCAGCAATACTTACTTTCCATAACCTTATAGTCCCAACAACTAGGAAATTATTAATCACAGATAAATCTCCCTCCTTGCCCAATATTATACAGTAGTAAGACAGCAGTTGCTTGAGAAAGACACCCAAACATCAGATCCTAACAGATTTTTTCAGAGCTGCCAGTGCTGTTTTTGTGAAGCCAGTAACACCACATGCAGCATCCCCTCCATCCCAAAACCACAGTGCCAGAAACCCAGGTTGTTTTGCTTGTGTTTGGACTGCATAAAGCAAAACCATGGAAGTACTTGGATACATCCACAGACACTCTTATATTGTGAATTACCCAGGTACCTTACGCAGGCTCACCCTGCAGTGCTGCTGAGAAAACGAGTAGCTCAGTTCTGACACAGCTGCGCTAGTGCCAGTGCTGCCCTAACACTGGCACAGAGCAATCCAGGATTGCTACACGGAACTGCACAACACTGATAAACCCAAAATAGGCTGCCACGAGCTACCACCCTACAAGGCATTTCACCACACTGTAAGGTAAACCCTATATTTAGAGTATGCCACATGTTGCCTCTTGTCTGATGCTCTGCTGTGCTTCTAACCTGACCCCACAGTCCAGTGACAATGAAAAAGAATGATTTATGGACACAATTTCAGCTGCTGTTTCTGTGACTGTCTCAAAATCAAAATAAAGAGATAGGAGAGGCCTCATTCGAAGTATACCAAAATTTACCCTGGTGGATCAAGCACAGGAGATAGGAAGTTTGACTTTCAGATTTCAATAGTCAATCATGTCCATAAGAACTATGAAGGTCTTTGATTTCAAGAAACTTAAGCTCTGATGAGAGAATATAAGGATGTTTGACTACTTGCTATCCAGCTGTTATGTGCCTTGGTGAGTTTTCTGTTCTAGTATTTAACTCACTACACATCACAGGTAACATAACTAACCCACAAAGAGATACTGACATTATTTACTGAAATCAAAAACAAACCCAACACAAAAACAAACAAACAAACAAACCACTCACCATAAAACCCAGTTCTTTTGAAGAATGTGCAAGTTATTCTCCAGGACTAGCAGTGCATTTAATAAAAGGCTAAGTACTTTCTCACTGTGAAACTGAATTTTAACCTCTTCCATAATACCTGACAGTACAGGCAAGTCAATACCACAGAAATACCTCACTGGGAAGTGATAAAGACTTCAATGCTGGCACTTAATGTTTCAAACAGAATTTGCAGAAGTTTGGTATAACTATTTTTCAGCTTTCCACATATATAATACAATGAGTATCTTATAGTTCTGCACTAAATACAATATTGAAGCATTTCCCATGCCCTGTCCTCTCCCAAACCTATTAAATGCACTGTATTCTTAAATTAATAAGATTATCTGGAAGCTCTAGGCCTCAGAACAACTGTGCTCTATTTAAAGTCAGATGGATTAAGATGGATCTGAGTGCCTTGAAACATCCTACCAGTACATGGATAATATGCAGTAAGTAGCAGTTATTCCAAGAAAATAAAAACAACCTGTTACTAACTCTGCAGTTATGGCTTAGCCCTGGAAAGTGTTTAGGCACTGCATCATTCCAGATGCTCAACACAAGGTAGACAGGTTGTTACTGATAGGAAAAATACCTAATCCTCACAGTTACAGAAAAATTGTGATTGCAATGAACATTCTAAGTATGAAATTCTCTCTCGCAAGCTGTAAAGCTACTGACAAGGGCAGCGTAACTAAAGATCCATTCCTGAACAACACTACCAGAGCTCTGGAAATGCACAGTCTGAGAGCAGAGTTCACATATTTCAGAAGTCACACAGCACCAACACTGAATGCTACAATTACGCAAGTTTCAATGTTTTCTGGATTTTTTCCAACTTGCAAAAATCTTCACACAGACAAGTATCAAAACACATTTCGATGTATGTTAGAAGCTGTGGAGGTCACAACTGTTTTCCAAGAAAACAAAACTGCAAATGATAGTTTATGAGGTAACTGTACACTCTAGTTATTTTCCCTAGGCACAGAAATTATTAAAGTGCAATACTCAAACTACGTGTACACCAGATGCTAAGTATATTCGTATTGCTTTTGCAAGATCTAAGTAGATGCTCCTAGGATTTAATACCTTTTAAAGCTCATGAAGATAAAATCAAGGCAGGTGAACTACTCACTTAATCATTTATGACTTCAAAAGCAAGAAAACCCACAGACAAGGCAGGGTCACCCAAAGACACTATGTACATCTGTGATTCAGCTTTCAAAGCAGTCCTCCTCCTCCCAAAAGGCACTCAAAAAAACGCTCTTCAAAACCAGGCCTCTCTTAAATGTAATTAACTTTCAGTTATCAGATACTTTATGTCTGTGATTACAGATAAATGACAGAAAACATCCCTTTCTCAAACAAAACCCCAGCCAAGAAACTCAACAACACCTAAGCTGGAAAGAGAACATATCATCCATTGTATTTTCCACCTCCATATTCATTTTGGGCAGAAACAAGATTTTAGCCCATGAACTGAAATTTTCCTAACATGTTACCAGCAAACAGATAATTACAGCTTCAAACATACATTCCTTCCTGCTACCACACCAGAAGATTTCTGAGTGTAAGATCTCTACGTCAGCCTGTCTTTCCACACATGCCTTCACCACGCACTGTTTCCACTGGAATCAACGTGCTGAAGCAGCAGTGGGATCCACCCAGTCACTTGCAGTCTCTGTAAACATGGAAAATCATTTTCTACAATGACAAAGCTAATCTCAGCAATCATGAGCTTGCACCGCTTGCCAAGCCCTCTCACCAAGCCATTTCCCCCAGAAAACAGTATCCTTTTACACTTCACTGCAAGGTGAATTTTGCTGAAAGTAAATCTCCAGTTATTTCCGAGCCAACTACTACAAAACAACAGACTGGATTTGGACAAAACTACCAATGGGCACTGACACAATTCTTCCCCTAAAACAACTACAGATAATTCCATTTACATCCACAGGGCTCTGTTAAGAATAAGCAACTACCTGTAAAACCACTTTTGAAATGAAAACTCATCTATTGCTATACACAGACCCAGTAAAATATACAGCCGCACCTAGAGGCCTGTATTTTTTAGCTCTTGAAAAGGAACATAGAGACTGTCAGTAATATGATTTCTGTATTTTAAAAATCTGATTTACCAGTACAGTAATACCACGTGATCACTGCTCTACCAGGCACAACAATTATTTTTAACACATGTCCAATTTTCCCCTTCTACTCTCCACTTTCCTGAAAACAAAAGACACTGAAGTCTAAAAGCACATACCCAACAGTAATCCTGACAGTACTCTGTATTCTGGAAGGTAAAAACATCACAGGATCTTGCTGGCAAAAAGGATATGCCAATGAGAATGGGGGGAGAGGACAGAAGGAAACCGTGTTTGCTCACTCTATGGCGCAATTTTGCAAGTTTTGGTTTTTAAGAACTAGTTAATAACACCAAGGGAAAGAACTGGTGGCCTCCAGTTTGAACATTAGTAGGTATTTTTTAAATTGCAAAAGAGCGTCATATAAAGCAAGAAACACCACTTACCTGTCCCACCCCCACTCTCACAGCCTGGTCAGCTCCATGTTTCAGCCAGATTTCCTGGGGGCTATGACATCTCAAGACTAGAACAGGCTGGACCCCAAGGAGTAAGAGCATATTGGGAGGGGCTGAAATTGGAAAAAAATGTTATGTATCTCTTTCGTATCTCACGTACAGAGAATCACAAAGCCTGTAACTGAGCAGGTTTCCACAGCAGTTGATTCTGCAGGCTGGAAATCCTGGTATCATGGGTTTACTCTCCATCATGGAACAACAGTGTCTAGTTTAGAGAGATGCTGACATGCTCAATTAAAATGACAGGTCTTATGAAATTAAATCACAAATTTAACCACCTCCATTTCTCAGGAGAGCCCCTCAGAGTAAGTATTTTTATAAAGACCATGGGAAAGCTAACCTTAATGAGAGGAGGGAGGGATACAGCTCATAACCCTAAGTGCCAAAGGAGACCTGGTCACTATTTCTGGTTTTACCACAGAAGGGCAACAGTTATGTACCTACCACAGAAAGGAAAATCACGGAAGCTGCTATCTGCCATGACTACAGAATTTATGTCTTTTAAAACTCAGCCAAAATCTAAGAAAGCCACAACTCTTAAGAATCAGCATATTCTCATTTACAGAATTCACCAGTTACAACTGAAAGACACCTTAAATGTCAGTGCGGTTTCACAACCCTAAATGGCCTATCACCTAACTTGTCAAAAAGCATTTGCACAGAGTCTTACACAAACTTCTAGTCACTTTCTGGAACTCAAGTATGGCTGAGTTAACTGAGATGAGGGGTCTGCAAAGTGCCACTGTGGTGGCACACACAGCCTGACATGGAAAGGTCTCTTTAGGGCTTTTTTTTTTGCCATGGTGGAGGTAAGCTTTTCTTTTCCTTTCTTTCAGAGCCAGTGAGAGAAAAGAACAGGAGAAAGAAAAGAACAGTTGTACAACAACTCAGTTGTACACACAACAGCTGCAGTATGTCAGACTATCAGCTGCTCAGGGCGTTTACTTTTATTCAGAGAAGTAAACTTCCCCCAAAACAAATTCTGTCATATCCTCACTGGTCCAGGAGAGACAACCTAAAGTCATCAGCAGAAACATTAACAACCAGTATTATGCATCAACTAAGAACCTGAGACTCATCCACAGCTCCTAATAAACTACAGTGAAGCATCCCAGAGACTGTTCAACTAATAATGACTTATAAAAGAAGCTGCTTAAGTACACTCGTGAGGTAAGTGAGCACCAACATGTTTTAAGATCTAAAACACTGAATGCCAGAAACTCCAGAGAATTTTACATCTTTCTTGAAGTAACACACCCCTAAGTTATTGTGATACAACCAGATACAGAAATGCATGCTAAACCACACACAAATGGAATAAAGAACTTAGGACTTAGTAATAGAAGTGAAGTCAACAAATGTTGTCTCTTAATTTTGTTCTCAGAGCATTAAGTATTTTGCTTAAAGAAATGAGAAGGAACAGTATTGTATATTTTATACACAGACTGTAGGAACAGAGGGGTGAAATGAAACTTGAGGGGGCAGAGATTACACAGAAGTGTAACCTGACATATTCCTCTATAAATAAAGGAATAAATAAATGTCAGGCAAGTGGGTTTAAACCTTCGTTTAAACACTGCGAGAACTTGAAAAAAATCAATCAATCAATCCTTTTACTCTGTTAGAAATGCAATGGACATACAATTCATGATAGCCTCTTTTAATTCCCTCAAAACCAAAAACTGATCAACAGCATCAAATGATTTCCAACAGATTATAAGCTCAGGGAGTTCCCCTTCAGTGCTATGCAGCTGTACTGTGAAAGTACTAGGAAATGCAATATAGCATAGGATGTATTTTCTTTCTTGTGTGCTACTACTCTTGTCTCCTCGAAGCGGCAGAAAACACCTGAACAACTTGGTTTTTATCTCTTTGAAACACAACATTAATTCTTCTGGCTCCCACACACATGGAATACAATTTATTCTCAACCACAGACAACAGCAACTGAAGTGAAGATAAGGTTCAGAAATCTGCTCTCACAAAACAAATTAAACCCAGATCTGAACCTCTATTTCAAGTGCAAACTGCAACTAACATTTTCGGCAGCCACACATTTTGATACTCTTACCCAAATTAACCCCACATGGATTAACCTAACACAGGTTGTAAGAGACAGAAAAAAGGAAACTCATCAGCCACTAGTCCTCAATCAAGTCATCTTGGGATGTCTGCCAAAAACACCCATAATTATTTTGCAAGATCACATCCCCTTTGTCCTTGCCCAGTTTCCTTTTCAAAGTTCAAAACCCCTCTTAGAATCAGCCACTTACACCAAAACTTCTGAAAAATTCTCCCCCACCTCCTCCCCTCAAGCCAGAATGTATCACCCTCAGAAATTTGCTTCTATCAATCCTCGCACAGAGGACAAGACATTTTGGAGACACTAGCCATACTGGGTACTCAGTACAGACTCCTTAAGTGAATCTTTTTTTGCATCCTCTCAAAGTCAGGTTTGTAAGGTTCTTCAAACTGGCAACTCCAAAATTACTAAGGCCTTCTGACTCTTTCAGACAAGTAACTGTGACTTTGTTTATCAAGGACACATATACCGACATGAATAGCTTGGTTCACCTGAGGGGGCCTAGTACTATTGAATCATGGAATCATCGAGGTTGGGAGACTTATAAGATCATCAAGCCAAGCTGTCTACCCAGCACTACACCCCATGACCCAGTAACAGACCTGGATCTTAAAACACCTCCAGGGATGGTGACTCCACCACATCCCTGGGCAACCTATTCCAATGCCTGACCACAGTAACAGTGAAAATACCTTTTTCTTACATCTACTCCGAATCTCCCCTGTTGCAACTTAAAACCATTTCCTCTAGTCCTGTCACTGAAGGCACAGCAGAAGACACCCCAGGTGTTCCACCAGGCCTCCAGTTGCTGCTCCAATGCTTGATTCCCAGGTCCACAAGGCACATGCCTCAGGAGCTAGGCCTGGGTGATGTCTTGCACACCTGGCTGCTTAAGCACTCCACGTGAGGACATGACAGATTAAATTTCCAAGGGAGTAGATTAAATAATGTCAGGATTCTGAAAACTGAGTGTGGTGGCCAAAAAATTCTGAGGCCTAGTCTGGACAATGATTTACTGTGTGAGCTTGCAAAAGGAATTTTCACACTCCTTTGCTGTATTTTCAATGAAATTATACAGGGAGCACCCTGAGAGTCAAACTGAAGATAAATATGATTAAGGTAATCCGTAACATCTAGCACTCAGTTCATTTCTCCAGATCACACAGCCCCAACGAAGACAGTGGCTATTCATTAATTAAACACTAGGAGAATTAAGACAATGATAATTAACTTCTACAAACCAAAATACACGTGGCTGTAACACTTTGCTGCGTTAGCTGAAAGCATTAGGAAGCTCTCCTTCCAGAAATGTGCCACCTATTTCTTACACTGTTCAGTTAGTTCATGGGTTGGAGCACAAGACAAGACATTTGGTAAGATATCTAAAGCACTGCATCATGTCTTTACATTTGCAGCAAGACATACTTCATGAAAAACTGGGAATTCCAAGCAGCATTATTTAGGGATAAACTGAGAAAGCATTCAAGCACCTAAGGCAGTGTTATGGTCTTAACCTGTACTTCCAAACAACTAATTAAATTTACTTCAAAATTAGAAACAGTCACATCCTGGTAGGAGATTATAATGTGAAACTTAGGCAAAGTAGCTTGATTCTTTTTTCATGGCAACATGATAAAAAGTATCCTTAAATCTAGTGACTAAAAAGTCCCACCATCCAAAAAAACCCAACAAACCTCAAAACTCCTAATAAAATCAATGCTTCAAAATGCGAACACTACTGTTCATTCCAAACCTCATTCAAGATTCTACACGTGTTTACTCCATTTAAATGAGTTACAGAGAATCTAGTCCAAAATCAGAAATTTAAGAACATATATCTGTCAGCTCAGTACTCAAATCCAAGCCCTTGCTCTCATACTCCACAGTCACTTTCAGAATCACATAAGTGAAGGTTCCAGAGAAGTACCTTGATCTTTCCAAGAAAAATTATCCAACTTTCTCTGCCCAAGCACAAATAAGACACTGAAATTCTGAGACTCACCTGTAACATACCAACTATTTCCACTTTATTAAAAAAGATGAAAGAATGAAGTGTTGATAGCATATTTTCCTCAAAAACTGAGGGAGTGGGTAGAACCATATCTTGAATGTACTGTACTCTGTATGTCTGATGTATTTTTTGCTTCAGCTCTGGATCAGATATAGGTATCACCTCTTTAAATTTTGCTGTTTTAGTCAGAAATTCCCTGTGTTTCCGTGACTGTGATAAAGACGGATCATATTCTAGGCATCCAATTACGTCCATTATACATTCCTCGGAAAACATGACTTCAAAAAGTGCAGTTCTGTTCAAAAGGAAAATTCCCTTGATAATTTCATATAAGTGGTGTAGTCCTTCAATGTTCTCCAAGTCTTCGCACACATGAAAAATTTCTAAGAGCTTCTTAATATAACCCTCGTTTTCCAGCGCTAGTGCGAGTTTTTCCCGACGCAATGGGGAAGGCAGTGAAGATGCCACGAGTTCTGCAATTTCTTCTAGTCGACTCAACTCACAAGATGGCAATTCTAGCCCTGGTGATGACATATCATCGAAACGTTCTTCCTCAGATTCGTCCACAAGGTCCTGAGTGATGTCGACAGAAGGGTCTTTGCCTTGAACCTACAAAATAACACGTGTCAGAAAAGTGGAGTTTAATTTTACTGCTACTTGAAGGCTTTTATAAAAATGCCATTTCGAATGTCACAGACTTTTTCTCTGTATGGGCAAAACAGAGGTGCAAAGCTAAATTTGACATTGGGTACAGCTGGTTTGGAAAATAAAGAGATAATGAAGAGATTTCTTCAGACAGGAGATAAAATTTCACAAAATTCTTCTTACATTAGACATTTGTTTTCTATAAAAGAAGGAAGAATAAAAAAATAATCTATATTTTTCTGAGGACTTCAAATAAAAACAGAAATTCATAACTACTAATATGTACGACTACTGAACTAGGCTATTTGTTTCCACCTCTATGGTCTGCAGATTTTCAAATGCAAACCACTATTACATTATTGCAGTGACAGCTTTAAACATTTATCTATAGGCTATTAACTGCTCTTGATGCTTTTCAAAGCTGCTGCTACCTCAAACAGAGGAGAGAGGCCAGTCTTGCTAATCTAATTGTTGGTTTTGGTTCTGGAGAACTGCAAGTCAAAATCTGTTACAGTGTGCTTTCGAAATACTCAACAGAGACACAGAATCTCCCCCTAAGAACAGAAAAGCTCAAACCAACGTTGACAAAAGAGTAGTGGAAAACTGACTGTCAGGGAAATGAGGCACAGAACCTGCCAAGATCTCTCTAGAGATATAAGGAAACTGCAGAAAGTATGAATTAGTGAAAAAGACAGGTGCTTGGGCACCAAAGTGTTTCAGCTTTAATGACATCTTAATTTTAGCATCTGCTTCCAGTCTGATGTGTCAAATTCAGAGAGGCACTGCTGTGCAGAACAGTAGAAGGTACTGTTCTTTTTAGTCTTGAAAATCAGCATAAAACCCCAGGAGAAATAATACTTCATTTATAATGAACAGCAAGCCTATACTTAGATTAAAATCCAGAATGCTTTTTAAAACCACATATTGCTCTGCTTATACACCAGTAACCACTTTCAGCATAAAAGGTATAGAAGTTTCCCTTTTAGAAGAAGTTTTAATGACAGAGGAAGCTTAAGAGCTATAAAGTACACTAGACACAACTACAATAGCATAGCCTCAAAACAGGATGTAAAGACACTGTTTTCCTACAAAAATACTAGATCTTTACACGAGGGTGAGGAAACCTGCCTTCTTATCTGGGTGTTCCCAAGAACAGAACTTCCCCTTTTCCCCATTTTGTTTCTGTCCCCAACTTTAAGTCCATTGACTGCTAAGGTTCCTGTAATGTTTCTGTACCTATTTACATAAGTGATAAACTGCTGAAAAGACTCATTCCTAAAAAAAAGCAATAATCTATACACATGCAATTTTAAAACCAGATTTCTTTTGCTTTAGTTCTGAAATCAGTGAGAACAAACTCCAAAAAGACAGAGTGGAGAGAGCCAGATGTTTGCTAAGAACAGAAAGAGCACATAGAGATTCAGGCTCGAAAAATCCCACATTATGTAGCATAGAAACTAAGGAAAGTTGTAATGCTTGGAATTGAAGACAAAAACCCAAAGGAGAACTGACAAAGTGAACTAACCTCAGTGAAAATACTGACTAAACTCTTCTGGGTATTGGTCAATAGTTAACACTTGACCACGTTATCCACAAACAATACTGACTCAGTGACGACAGTGGTAAAACACATGTTAAAATATATACATGCTATACACAAATGGTTTAATTTCTTAGAACTGTAAGAGTTATGGGTCAGAGCTATCTCCTACTTCAACTACCAGATCAATCTTTCATAGCCTGACAGTCCACAGAAGTATACTGTCACATTTACATGGAAAAAGGTTCTGAGAGAAGCTAAATATTCTCCTCACCTGAAACGGAAGAATAAGAAATGTAGAAAGAGAAATGCAAATAAGATATGGTTTTATTAGGTAAACTATATACACAAAAATATGGTATATTCGATAAGAAATACATTGCAGGATTCACTAAGAGCTCACATATGTTCTTCTCTCAACAAAAAAAACCTTTAATCTTTCCCCTTCTAGCCAACCTGGAAAAAGTTAAACATTAATTGTTATGAAACTCTGAGCACTCATGTTGAGCACTAATAGAACTCCTTGGGTGATAATAGAACTAAAAAGTTAGTTCAAAGCAAAAAGAACTGAAAATGTTCTAAAAAATAACCAAAACATATATTAAGTTTGTATTAAATTTCTGGAGGAAGGAGGAAGTTTTCAAATTCAAAAATGAAAAATTTGGGAGAAGTGGCTAAAACGATAATTTTTACTTTCTATCTACAGTGTTCAGATTGACCTCTTAGAACAGCCTAAAAATTTTGAACACAAACATTAAGATCAATTAGGTTGTCTCAATCTTACATTTATCAGACTTACCTGACATATTTTTTCCCATATTTCATCACATCCTGCTTTTTCTTGAAAGCTAAGTGCCAAATCATAATTTTCAGCTTCAGACCACACAATCAAGGTATCCTTTAAAGAGAGGAAGAGTATTTTCAGGCAATGTATTTCAGATTTTACAAACCTATACAGTATTTAAAGAGTAAAATCTGCAAATAAAACCAGCATGATGCCTAATTATGACAGGACAGTATTGCAATACAAGTGTAATAATCATATTTTGTTAGATTTTTATATGTTCTGAGATTCTTAGGATTACAATAATTTCAGAGCAGATCAGATCAATAAAGTTCCAGAAAGACACCGAAAGTTTCAGTTCTTATTTCAGGTGACTACAATACTGTAAATCTGACAGGCTGATGTAGAATACACACTTCTATCTCAATGCATCCTCTGATAAAATACAGTAACAAAAGCAACAGGTTTTGTGGAGTTTTATGTTTGGGGGTTTTTTTAGATGTTTCAATTGGACTACATAAAAACACACTTCTGTAGCATCGGTTACAATATTTTTCTTTATTTTTCCATGTTTTATAGGCCTCAGAAGACACTGTGCTAATGCACAGAACAGCTGCTCAAAAAGCAGCCCCAAGATGGCTCAAACTCTAAAGAACAGAAACCTGAACACGCACACAGTGGCTAACAGCACACACACCTATCACACCGAACCACTCACCTGACTTTTACTTACTCCAAACTACAATTCTGGAAGGAAGTTTTGCCCTAGTTTTCTAGAAATGAGTTAAATCCATGCTTAGCTATGCTTACTACCCAAACACTTTAGCTCTCATTTGCTCACTAGGATAGCACATGAGTTCATCAGAACCCTCACACTGCATGCAGAACCAGTATCTGGAACTGGGAGCTGAACCTGCAAACTGCAATATGACAGACTGATAGTTGATGCAGTAGCTTACAGAAGGTCTGATAAAAGCTCTTAGAATAAAAAAAAAAGGAAAAAAATTGGGCTTATTTACACATACTGAATCAAGTTTCATTTTAAGACTTTTTCCTTCTTATAACAGCCAAAATATAGCCACAGTAAATACACAGAGCTCCAGGAAACCATAATATTTCAGCCAAGTGCTAAACCATGCATTTACTCATTTGGAACAAGAGATGTGAGAATTCTACTTGGATTTCAACGGGAACATAAAATACAGAATTTTTGCTTCATTAAGTATAGGTTTTGCTTATGGTGATTATTCCTAAAGAACTTAATTTAAAATACTTGCAAAATCACTATAAGTTGCCAGGCAGTTATGAAGTCTAATACAGTTTATTAATCAGGCTTAATTTGCTTCAAATATTAAAATGAACACTGAGGATAAAGAGAAATCTTACATTTAGATTTCAATATGCACTTACTAGGAAACTCCTTGAACTAAACTATAACCCAAAGAGCACCATCAGCTACCTCCATTAGGGCTGTCAAGCAATACAATACAATCAATTTGCCATTACCAGCAGCTCTAATGCTTCAGAGGCACTAATGGCTTTACCTTGTAAATGGCAAATAGTTTACCTTTTCCTTTTCCAAAGGGTTGAGGAAGAGGTGGTACACAGAAGAAAGGGATTTAGGAAGACCACCTCCAAAATACAAAAGGAAGAAAAAACCCATAATTAATATTGATTCCCTACAAGACAGGTCATGGTGCAAATACTCTGGTAATAACAGATTGACAGCACCTAGTACTGCTGACTCTGATAGAGAAAGGGAAATAACACTTTACAAAAATCTAGAGATGAAAGGTCAAAAAAAACCCAATTTGTTTTGTCTACCATCTTTAAAAATAGTATGCACCTTACTGCAGTATCCATCATATGTATCGGGTTCAAATTCTAATACATTCATCAATGCAATTAGTATTTACTCTGCAGTAATTTTCAAGGCCACTCCCTCATTAGCTTCACACTGAGTAGCGTGAAAAAAACCCCAATGCGAAATTTTAAGTAGACCTTAGCAGAACTTCCAACATTTCCATCTAATTACATCTCCATTTAAATGGACAGTGATTAGATTTCTAAGCAAACCATTTTCAGAAGATCAATGTATTTTCTTCCTTATTAAGAACACAACTGACAACTGGGGAAATGACTAAAGAACACAAAAAAGGACAGTGTCATTTACATTAACTGCTTAAGTTCAATAAACAGTAGCTGTAAATCTGTGAATAAAATCCAGCACTGGACCAAGACAGGTCTGCCTGTTTTCTTCTTCTGGGGAGAGGATGAAGAGATCAAGGCAGGCAGAGAAAAATGAAAGTAAAGGCAAGAAGTTAAAACCTGCTTTTAAAAACTACAGTCACAGATGTGTATTTGGCCACAGTATAGTAACTGTTCTTGTTAAACAAGATCATCTATTGTTAGATATGCAAGTTCACACCACTACACACTCTGATTTTTAGAAATTATTTCTTCTTCGGGAAATGAAACAAAAAAACTGCTCAAAGAAATTATCTGAGCAGCAGAACAATAATCTTCCAGTTTGGTTTATTAATGTTAGAAAAGTGGTTTCCTATTACCAATTAGGAACTAACAATTGCAAATTATTACTTATCTGTTGTCTTATCACACAAGGGTTTCATATTATAGATTATTATTAGTTCCTCAACAGAAATCCATCAAGTGCTACTCTCTGGAACTTTAGGAAGAGCATTTGTTTGTACATTATTTCTTGCCTCAAAGGGCTTTTACAAAGTGCACATGAAGCAGTACAAAGCTTATAATCAAAAAGAAGAGCAGCACAAGACATATGTAGAAAGAAGTGACTGAAAGAAATTCTAGATGTAGCTAAAGATTGTAAAAAAAAGCATGAGTAACATAGTCTAGTTTCTGCATGCTTTATTTAATGGAATATTTCTATGTGTTTGCTCTGAAATCTCCTCAGTGTAATCTGAATCCACTAACTATTCTGGGTCTCTCAGCTATAGAATTTGTCGCTTCTAATGTCAAACATTATTACTCCTTGTGACTCCAAAAAGCAACTGGAATTTTCTAAGAATGCCTCCTCCATCCCAAGAGAAAACAGGAGTGTGAATAAAGATGCTTAGCAATCGTAGCTATTGGCTAGAGAGGGAAGGAGGTGAGTCTTGCACATTACACCTCATGAGTATAAAATCTTCTATCTCAAATGATCCATAAAAGCAGTTCTGGCTCAGTTTGATCAAAAACGTCCTTTTTTTGGGTTACATACAAAATGTTAGCCTCGACAAGGAACTGGGATGATTAGCACATCTAAAATTTGTTCTTAGCTACCTCACTGTTAAACACAGCTAAAATGTGAAACTGCATTATTGAATCACAGCTGCATTGTGTGAAATGTCATAAACACAGACAAATGTTTTAACATTGAAGGTTTTTATTTTGAATGCTCTGTGAGAATCCCAGCATTCCAGCTCCCCACATTCCTCAAATTGCATCAGTCCTTGGCAAGATCTTTTTAAAATAGGATGATAATCAGGAGCTATTTATGCAGAGTTCATGATCTTACTCCAAGCTTGAAAATCATTTGCTGCTTCACAAAAAATATTTTGACAGTAGTGCCAGTTGGATGTGTCATCACTACCTTAGTCCATACAGAACTCGCTGTGTCCCTGAGACCCTTTATGTAAATTTGTCTTCTTTCATATTAGTGTTCATTATGACTGCACAGATAAAATCAAGAATTTTTAATTGCAACCAAAAGGTCTAAGCATGGCCTCTTTCAAGGAGACCTATGCACTTAACATACCCAGGGAGAGGTAACCATCATTTCTGCAGGGTAACTTTTTACACTGATCCTTGTTAAGGATACAGGCAGAGGCCAAAGCTCAGGATACAAGTGGGGATTTCTGTGCTGCTTGTTGCACTGGTGGCTGCATCAAGCTCACATGAAATTCTGCTTAGTTAGAGATCTTCAAGGAAGCATTGCTGTGTGCTACAGTTTTGAGACTTCATGCCTAAGAAACTAACCTTCCAAAAGACTGCAATAGTTTAAGAGGAAGCAGTGGCAACTGGACTTGGATGGCCAGGGCTTAGGAGCTACCATATGACTTCTCATATTTTGAAATTATTGCCAAAAGGCTTATTTTCCTTAAGAGTAAAAAGTTGCTGAATACATACTACCAGTCTTAAGTTCTCACTGTAACACTCATCAGAAGTCACACTTTTATTAGACATTAAATCAGTTTTATTTGACAATTAGAAAGCTGATCAGCAGGTGTGTTGCACTCACACAATTGCCAAAGCAAGCCCTGGGACTTCTTAATGAAGAATTTCAGAGCAACTAGTACTCAGGATTTGCTTCTGCTGCAAAACTAAGATTTCTTCCTTGATGTGATAGAACCAACAAAACTGTTACTGTCTGACACCATCCTCTCACTGCTGGTCATGTCCAGGTAGAGTAACAGTCTTCTCTGCAGCTCCAAAACATTCTCTTGGCATCCCTATGAGATTTAGGCTTCTCTCAAGAAGTAGCGACTCCCTAAACTAGATAGGTCTTTCATAAATTCTTGCTTTCAGTTTAAAGAGCATATCAATTGCTTCCTATTAGCCCTCAAATGATTAAGGCCTGTGATACTTTCCTGGCCCACACTGAAAGTTCAACACATCAAGGTTGTTTCTCCCACCTTGGACAGCCTGACTACTAATTCCTTATCTAAGCCCTCATATTGTTTACAGTCACAGATACTTCCCTGGACATGCCAAGGCACCTTGTAGCATCCTGCTATCTAAATATTTACAGTCAAAAGTAGTTCCATAAGCAGGTATTTCTTTATGAAATAAACTACTGGCATTACCCAGTATTTTTAAGTCAAATACATGGTTTTAGTGGTAGGTTGTGGCAAAATCTTCAGGCTAAAAAATGCACCCAAGTAACGTAATACCAAGTTTCAATTCTGCATTTGGTTTTGTGCATTTGTTCACAGAGAACCCGGCTGTGCTAACAATTCATCCCACACTCAGTCTTCTGACAGAATGTGTTCTATTAGCTTCCATGAAGGCTCAACAATCCTACATGACTTTTCAGCTAGCGATTTCATAGCTGAATTCCCATGAATCACAAGGAACAAAATCAGTTTATTAGACCTATAACAGAACCTCGACTCCCTGGCCTAATGACCATACCCAGCAACAGCAGAAAAATCACATTACACAGGAAAACAGACATGAAGAAACAAGTGATCATTTAAAACAGATAAACTTTCCCTTGTTTCTCCCCTCACCCCACCAAGCCACAAGCTTTTTCTTGCTATCTTAGCTACAACAGGCACAAATTTTATTGAAACAGTTTCACTGTTGCCTCACTTGTCATGACAGCAAAGGTAGGAAATTCATCTTCCCTGAGCCTTTTCAAAACTTAGTTTTGTTATCAGCAAGTCTGCTCTCCTTCATTCAAGGGTGGCCACCTTCAAGCTATATAGCTAGGAGACAGTGCTCTGGATGAGTTTAATCTGAGTATTCTTGTGAGGAACAGAGAGAGACTGCAAAAGCGAAGGACAGGAGACACTGAAGCTCCCAGTGCAGAGGCAAGACTCTAGCTGGAAGCTGTAACCAGCTCAAGTCTTCCTTGTTTCAGGCACATTGGGTTACAGAATGTACATGGATGTATCTAAAAGTTGGTAACACAAGTCTACACTGTTCTATTGCTAAAGCACTGCCAAAATATATTGAAAACTATATATCCCAGTCCACAGCTGTATCAGGTTTCTCCCGAGATCAACGTTATGCATATAGTTTAAGGTTGTATAGGAAGAGGTGTGTTTCCTAAAATACTACTGCAATCATTTATTTTCTGAATAAGGATAACGTGTTTAATTAAGAACAGCATCTCTGTCATTAGCATTCCAAAATTTTAATGCCTTAAAAGACCCACCACAATTAAAATATTTTCTATCTTTACTAGCACATTAAGAAAACAACCAACAACAGAAGAAGAAAACTAAATATTCTGTGCTACTACTTACCTAAAATTAAATCTAGTACATTCCATGGCAGTGTTATAGGACCATTACTGTAACATTTTAAAATGAGAATACCAACAACACTTAACATATAGATGTAAGCAACAGCACAAGTCAGGCATCCGAGTGCCTGTACTGATGCACATTCTGCCTTTTCTGAAGAAGTTTCTGTCCTTTTTGAGCCACAGGACATTAGATTCTCAAGCTGTTTTCTTTCTAGCTTGTTTTCCTCATATGAATTCCTTTCTTCTAGTTCTAGTGTAAGTAATGATGAGTTTGCCAGAAGTACATGTTCAGAGCGGCCAAAACCTTCCACTGGTATCAATTCTATGATGCAGAATCAGATAAACAAATCTTTTCTTTTGAGAACAGCAGAAAATAACACATCACTGCGACAGAAAGACTAATCTAACTTAGCTGACTAGTGAAAAGGTAGTTAAAAGACTATGTGTTTCATGCTTTTAGGAATTATTTCAAACCTCCAGACAGCAGCCAAGTCTGGGAAGAACAGGAACTAGACTGTGCAAGCTGAAGTACCTCAGAGCTGACCATAAAGGGCAGTCACTGCTTTCAGTCCTGAACACTGAGAAATATAAAGCAGACAATTGGACAAAACTACACCAGTAGCTCAAGTTCACAGGGTATAGCTTTTGTTGGGGTTTTTGGTCGGTTTTGGGTTGGGTTTTTTTGGGGTTTTTTTGTGGTTTTGTTTTGTTTGGGTTGGGGCTTTTCCCTGTTTCCCTATATGTTTTACACACTAAGAGAAGAGAGGATGTAAGGCTAACTTGTACTCAGGTCTTTGGGCTATTCTTTTGATAAATAATTATCCAAGCTGTGCAGAGATTAAAACACACATACATATACCATGAGATTGCATCATTTGTGGTATCAGTTAGTAATGAGACCACGTTTCACACTGGCACTAACAGTGCACCATACGTAGAAGGTCCTTTCACCAGTGGAAGAAGTTCATCATCGACCACAAAGGTATCTACAGGCTTGTTGAAGGACCCAAAGCAACTGGCACAGCAAGAGCTTATGTATCACGCATGATCTCTCCCTCCTTCCAGCCATGAATTATTTCTGTTGGTCCAATAAAAATTGTTTCTTCTTACAAGCCTCATGTGAGCTTAGACAAAAGTAAGAACTCATCCACTTGTTCCATGAGATATCTGAAGTGCTCACAAGCCACATGCTCAGTACCTCACAGGACAAACGGACATGCTGCTGCGTATCCCGGCACAATGGAATGGAAGTTCATCCTCACAATAACACTCTGAGATAAAAGCCTTGTGAGACCAAAACACTAGAAAGATAACTTTCAAGTTTTAAGCCTTTCTAGGAGATTTTCTTGAAACGTCATGACAGCAAGTGACAACTGCTGGCATACTCAAAAGTAAGTCTTCTATCTCAGGCTGCAATGTCACTAGCACGGGAGCTGAGGTGACCTAAGTGGCCTTGTGCAGTCAAAAAGAAAGATCTCACCCACTCTTCCATCTCACAGTTCCACAAATGGACCTTGTGTGAGGAGTCCTGAAACTTCTGCTAACACAGGAGTTTTGAAGAGGGATTTGGAGTACCGTGTTGATTTCCTTGCGGTTTAGGCAGTTTAGAGTTATATGAGCAGAGCTGGAAAGAAACAACTCTTCTTTTCAGCTGCTAAGCTCCAAGCTTAGCTCATACAGAATCAATTTTAAATTCTGAATTTGCCTTTTACTAAGGGAAACAGTAAGCAGGCCTCATGTGAAACGTAACATGCTACAAAGCAGATTAAATACACACACCGAGAAAGATTTGGTATTTCTAAGGCTCAAAGTGGAGCCATACATTCAACCTGCACTAGAGACCACTTTGCTTAAATAATATGAACAATCCACCCACAAATATAAATTTCTGTCTGTGCAGCATTTGAAAGCTTTAAGGACAGCACACTTCCCTCTCCAGCACAGCGACAGGACAGATTCATGTTTGGTATTCTGATTTCTCTCACCATGTTTGACAATGGCAGCACTGATCTGTGCAGTGCAGATTACAATACACATCTGACCCAGAGCAGCAAATGCTGTTACACTGAGAGGCATGTTTAGTGCTTTGCACCAATCTTACAATTTTATGCCTACTTGAAGCTGGTTTCATGTCTGATCTGGCATAAACCCTAGTGATACAAAGCTCAGCCCTCAACGCTCTTTGAGCAGATTTAAGCCAGCAAAGCAAGTTTGCACTAGATCAGCACTTTATGCCACAGAGCTGTGAAATATTCAGTGTCATTTTAGGAGTACTAAACCTCAAGTTACTGTATTACAGAACCATGACCTCAAGATAGTCAGGATTACAGCTAAGGCTTAGTTTGCTTAGCATTTTTGCTGGTCTTGTCCTTTCTTACTCCCTGGAATTGATTCTCCACACTGATACTGGCTTTATCAGTTGTTCAGTGAGGAGTATTTATATGGTGCATGATGAATTATATCAGGAGACAGATACAGGTTAGACTTTTCAAGGAAGGGTATTTTTAACCCATACTGGTTCTTCCCATTCAGTTCAACATACAACCCCACAAACAGCTGCAGCCACACAACCACTGGGACTGCTTGTGAGCAAAACTGTGTCTATGCCTGTAACAAATTCTAAAAGCTGAAGACTGAAGAGTGTTTTAATACAGGAACTGTACCTGACAGGATTTTAGCAAGTCTGAGCAGATCAGACAGGCACCAAAATACAATCTGGTTCAGCATTTCTAAACCTCTAAGGGTAATTCTGAGCATCCCTGAAGTAAGAATGGCAAACAATATACAAGACCTACAGTTCACTTCTCGCCCATCTCAGTAGCATTGTTTAGAAGCTCACAGTGTAGGTTTAAATAATTGAAGCAAGGTGCAAACTAAAGGTGAGAAGCTGCTTTTATGTATACAGAATGCTCTGAAGCAGTAGTAACCCACATCCACCTCCCAAAGAGAAGACAAAGGATAACATGCAAATAGTTTTAAAGCCTTCTAATCTTCTCTTGAATATAAATAGACTCAAAGTTGCAGTACCTGAAGTATAAAGAAGAAAAACCCCAAATTATATTAAGTTTCAGATACTATAACCCTCAGGAACCTCAGCCACTTTGTGATTTTCATAGCTATGTTTTGCCTGTTTCTCCCAAAGCAATTTTTTATGTCAAACAGTGCAAATGATCTATTTAACTTCACAAAAAAATGCAGAGAAATAACACATGAATCATGAAATGCACAAAACCAGTGAAATCCTCTTTGCGTCTTATTTTTGGTACAAGAACATAGACTATAATCTTCAATACAGGCAAAAAATTACAGTACCACTACATTATTGGTTGTATTGTTAAAGAACCTGCCTTTAAACATGAGAAAAAGAAAATTATGGTTACCTGTTGCTTCTGGTACGCAGTGTTCGGATTAATTTTGGACTCCAAAAGAAGAGAGCCTAGAAAAAAAAAGTTCCACTTATTTACATGTGTACTAAAATTTTAATCTCCACATGAATTTTCTGATCACTCTTTCTTCAAGCAGCTCTTAACACCTTTCTTCCCAATAATAAGCCTGTTAACCCCTATTCTTGAGCTTTATATTTCATTCTTCCCTCAAAGACATCCTCCCTCACATAGCACAGAACAATTAAGAGTGCCCCAAGGACTGAATTTTAAACTTCTTTCTCATTCTGAGTAATGACTTTTCCATGGAAAGTTTTTCAGAGATGATAAAGTCTGCAAAAAAATCAGCACACGGAAAGCATCACAACCGCATTTGTAGATTACCTATGGTTGTTTCACGTGAAATTTGCTAACCATGTGGTATTTGTTCTTAAAAGTTTAGCTAAAACACTTGTTCTCCTAGGAAGCATATCTAGAAACAGTGGGAACTGCCTCAAACCAGGTGCAGGACCTTGAACTTGGGTATTGCTGAACCTCATGAGGTTCACACAGACTTCCTTCTTGAGCTTGTCCAGGTCCCTCTGGATGACATCCCCTTCCTTGGGCATGTCAACTGCACCACTTCAGCTTGGTGCCACCTGCAAATCTGCTCAGGATGCACTCCATCCCACTGTCTACAACCCTGATGAAGATGTTAGCTTGGGGGAGGTGAGGGAAGAGACTGAAGAACCAGATCACAGAATTTCACTTGCTGACGAGTGGTGTATCATTAAAGAATTACATAAATATCAGAACATTTTGCTGTCTGAATTTTGAAGCTTTATCAAAGACTTTGATACTCATTAGCTTACTATGTATGGGATAATCAGATACAATTATTCCTTTTTAAAATTAACTTACCTTCTTGTTCCTAATTTCTAAGTCTGCTGTCCCACAAGAAGGAGCCTTCACTAACAAAGCTGGCTTGACACGCTATCCCCTGTTTCAACTGCTCTTGCAGTAAGAGTTGTTTACAAACTCAGACACAAGCCAACTACAAAACTGAAACAAATATTCCTCAAGGGAAAACAAGACACAAGGAAAAAGCTCTCTCATCTCAAACCCAAATACACCACCCTTTCTTTTTTTGAAAGTTTTTCCAGTTTTCTAACCTGAATCAGGTCTGTCACCAAAGCTTATGTGTTAAGTGTAACAGCGTAACTAACAAAAAAATAATCACAAACCACAGAGCAGGACAGAGGAGGAAAACATCAGAGATGAGCTTTACTGATGAATCCAACACACTGTTCATACTTAGACCATAGTCTCGATCTTTAAATTTTGGGTTTGCCTAATGGACATCGAAACCCAGCATTCCGTTTCCGTTATGATCACTGGCTACAGACAGTATTTCACTTCAGTCTTACTTTCAAAGCCCCAGCTTCCACTACATCAAGTGTTAGAACATTATTTTGTGCTATTAACTTGGTTGACTAACTTCTATAAAGTCTTTACTGTCTGGAAATATTTAATACCAGCATGCACGAATTAGGATCTTCTAAGAATCAAAAGTAATCAATAATTTCAACTTTAAATTTCAACTGCTGAACACACATGGAAATCCTTAAATTAGCAGAATATCACACAACTTGTATGCCATGTGTGAACAAATACTATTTTTAAAACAAACTGAAAACAATTGCATGCAGACATTTCATCTTTCAGGCTAGAAGCAGACACTAGAGAATAACTTCTTTACTAGACTTACCACAAAAGAACATTTCTTCTCTACTAAACCTGATGCTAGCAGGAAAGACGAATCAAGCCTTATAAGGCTTGACTTGCTTCTCATTGCCACAATTCAACTTAGTTCTCAGTATTCCAAACAATAACTAGAAAAATATTAATCTAGAGATACAAACATGCTGAAGTGCAAACTGTGCTCTATAACTAGTAACTGCCCCAAGTCCATCCTTCTGGAGAATACAATGCTCCATTTATCAATATGTTCCCCAAAAGGGTTCAATGACTCAAAATCTAGTTAGTTCAGCGAGTTTATTTTCATAGAGTAAGTTTTAGAGGATCAGGCCCCTTCATGGTATGGGGGAGCCCTAGGTCTCTGTTACTTGTGTCTGGACAGCAGGCAGCAGTAGCAGATGTTCTGTAACACAAATGTGTTCTCTAGAATAAAACTACACAAACCTAACACACCACAAAGTTCTTCTCCATTCAAAGTCATTATCAGTATTGATTCCTAAATACAGTTTGAGATGCTTTGAGACTCTTGCACTTTTCATAAGCAATTCCCTTCCATGTAGGTATTTTTCTGTTGGAACTATCCTAGGATATGTTAAGACTATCCAGTCTATTTTACAAAAATTTCATCTTCATTGACCCATGACTCTATTCAAAGTTAGGTAAGACCTGAAAAGTCACCTTAATACAAGCACTGGTTTTAATAAATGCTCCTAAATTATGCATATCTAGCTATTTCTTAAATTAAGCCTTGAATTCGTAAAAGTAACTGCAAACCATTGGGGTCAGAAAGTAACATCTGAAACCACCTGTAAGTAAGAAAAGGGATTTGCAGAATTCATTTATCTGCCACTGCAATGCAATGGAGCACAGATGGGCTTGTGTTAGTGTAAAACCAGCACATGTGCTGCAGAAGGAATGTGTGGATAGGGGAGGTTTGCTTAACAGCGATTACTTACAGACATGCAATGCTATTTTCACTTATATTTAGAGAGCACCAAATACTCCAGGCCTTAAACAACGTATCTGCAGACTTGTTTACACACATGCATATGGAGGAGATCAGCTGATACAGAATACTTGCTCCTCTCCCATCAAACTGTTATGTGGCTTCTTCCTCCACAGCAGAAACAATAGTGCTGCTCATTACCCCTCACCAGTTTGAACATGTTTAAATCTAAATGAAAATTTCAATTCAAGAAAGTTTTTTCCAAGATGCACACAGAGGTTAAAGTTCTGCAATCAGTTCTGCTGCTACCAAATCACAGAATCTAATCCACAGAAACTCAGGACAAACCGAGATCCAAGAATGTGCTCTACATTTGCAAGAGACTATCTAACATTTCTGAAGGGTCAAAGTGAAAAGGGGAGAAACAGGAGAAAAGAAACAAAAAAACCCCAAACCACTAAATCCTCACCCGTATTTATTTGTCATTTTGACCTAAGGTATGTATATAACCACAAAATTTTCTGTGTTGCTTTCCTAAAAATAGGTAAATAAAATTAATCCCTTGAGTTTGAGCAAGGTAAAACAAACTTAAGCCAAACTTTGCCTCAGCCTTCTGCCAGTACTACAGGCTTACTGATATGTACACTAAAGAAAGAGCAAGGACAGGTGCCTGCCCCGAGGGAGAGGTCGTTAACATAGAGACTTCAGAATCAGCAAAGTAGAACTTCTGAATGAAAATGATGAGATAGTTCCTAACAAGACAGCTGGCAAGTATGGCCTCCAATAGAGGCATTCACTTTGGCTTGTCAAAAAGTTTAATTAAAACTTACTATGCCTGTATCTAAAGTTTTAAGCCTTTAAATTAATCAAAATTAGTTGAACAGAAAAGTCCATTTTAGAGGTCACTTCAGTCATCTGGGCTCAGAACACAAAAAAAAAAAAAAAAAAATCTGAAACCATGCAGTAAAACCCAAGACATTTTAAAAATAAGGTAGGCCACAGTAGCCTAAAATACTGTATGATATACAGGTAAGAAATCAAAGGCCTCTGATCACACACACAAATTCACATGGAAGGTGATAACTTGTTCAAAAAGATTCCACCACTGCTCTACTGCAATTCAAGTAAAATACACTACAACTAGGAATCACAGAGAATGTTTTCAAGCTTTTAAGGAAAAAAGTTAACAGTTATTAAAGTGTAAAAAAAATTACAATTTTCAGTTTCAAAATATACTATACCTGATCTGAAAGCAGTTCATGGTATTTCTGTACTATAACTGATTACTCTAAATTGCCTGCAATGACCCTTACAATTTAGTGACAGGAAACATAAGACATCTCAGATAGCAACACAAAACACTCATCTGCTCTAAATTCTTTTTTTTTCAAGATGGTGTTAAAACAGACACCAACACCAGTAAAAAAACCACTCCTACAGATAAAAATCAGTTCTTATTCCTCCAGTTCCAGGTAACAGCTTACCTTGGAGTTGGCACACTGACTGTATTTCCCTTATCTGAACACTCCGGCAGTGCTATAAAATCTCCACCACTTCTAAACAGCCTACTACACCAAGACACAGCTGCAAAACCAAAAGACAACGATGTGCTAAGCCCACACGGTCAGCCAAACAAACCTCTGGCAATTCTGCTGTGCTCTGAGCACAACCGAACTGGCCCTTTAACAGGAGCGGGAATTTCCCAGACACAGCAGGAACTACAGCTCACATCCCCCTCGACCTCCCCTACTCAGGAAACGGAGCCTTCACCTTCAGGCAGATCCCGAAGTTTTCCGCAGCTTCCTGGAGCAAGTCAGCATGAACATGCCAGTATGCACAGGATGAATCTCAGCTCAAAGGCTAGGCAAAGCTAGTTTAGAAATGCAGGAAGGAAAAAGTTTCATTGTGGAAAGAGGAGGAGCTGACAACGAAAGACAATACAGGAACGCAATGGAAACATGGAGGCAAACGGTGGATAGGTCAGGTTCCTACTGCCGGTATGTCTTGGATGACTAGGAAAAAGGTTAAAAAAAAAAAAAAAAAATCACAGTCACCTACTTCGTTTAGTTAGAACAGCATGCAAGGGAACACAAATTGCACAGTATCTAAAACACATGCCTGGCATTACCTTTTTCCAAACCATTTGCTCACATATAAAAATTACTGTATTTGTCTTCAAAATCAGCTCACAAACAACAGACACTGGGAGTAAACAAAACACAAATCAAATTTTATGAGGTGTTTACAGAGGCAAGTTAGAAAAACTGCCTATTAATAGAATGCACATCTACCCAGGACTGACACTACCTACTATATTAAGAACTGAAGCTGTGTGCATTATCCAATACTGTGAAGTACATGTGCTGTCTGAGGTCTAACGTGCGTACCCTACCAAATACACAGCTGTGCACTGGGTGCAATTAGCAAGTTTAAGGCAGTTCTGCTTTGATTAGAGTATCTAAGCGATGCAACACAAAGCAATGACTTCACTTTTATTTGGGGATCACTTATACCAATTTGCACTTTCCTTCTTACAGATGTTCATTGACAAGAAATAAGTTGGCAACAACAGTCCCATTCAGGTTCTAATCAGTCTACAGCTTACATATTTCACTGAAAGTCAATAAAGGGATTTCAGTTTGAATGGGCTATTTCTTTCCAAGCAGGTTATGAACTGCAGTTGTTTTGCTTTCTTTTCTAAAAAGAATTTTAAAAAAAATAAAAAATAAAAAATAAATCAGGAAATTGTTACTGTGTAGGAGTCATGACAATTTCTAAACATGACCCCATCAGCCATGTAGGCAGCAAGGACAGTATCTATAACAAAACACACTGTAAAAATTAGTAGAAAAAATTTGTGATAACCTTTTTAATTCCCTCCCTCGTACTGAAATCATACTAAGTCTATTTCTGGTTTGAATGTTTTCTCTAACACTAGAGTTGCTCAAACTTTAAGTTCATCTGCCTGACTGTAAAACAAATAAAATGAAGTATTAGCTTAACTTTTTAGAGAATAATCAAGAAACTACAAGACCCTGTGACTTGGGTTTATCAGCTCAGTTATCAAAATCCTGCTAAGGTGACTGATTCCTCCGTATCAGTTTATGCTCTCTGCTGTAGAGATTATTGTAGAGTTTGTCAGAACCCTCTCAAATAGTAAGAATTAATGGTTCTCAAGTTGCTTTTCATCCCAGTTCCTACAATGAAAAAGCCAAACAAATAAAATTACAAGGTCTGTTGGCAGTCACAAGGTACAACTAGATCTACAAGTCACTAAATGCAGTAGCTACGCACTTAATGTAGCCTTCAATAGCAAAATGGTACAAGCATGATACTGCAAAGTACACTTTTTAAACTCTACTCTGACCACAGCAGGCATGAACTCACTCAACCAATAATCGAGACTAGCCCGAACATGTAGCTACAGGGCTAGATACTACACTACTCCACTTCTACTATTGTCCTATGTGGCCAGAAAATGTGAGGGAATTTATTTACAGGAAACGCTAGAACTGCTAAAGGCCTGAGAACTACCACCCCATTTGAAAAACGCTGTTCTGTCCATTGTATTTGTCTTCACTGCTGTACCAACTGTACTTTGGTAACTGTTGATAGCTTTGAGAACGTCTTACATAATTCTAAAAGCCATCAAAGAAAAGGGTGGGACGGAGAAAGGTGTTAGCCACTCAACAACCTTTTAAAAGTGTGCCCTAAAACCCATGATCTGAGTTTTGAACAACCTTCAGGAGGGGATTGTTTCCAGAAACATCCATGAAAGGATACATCACAATGGTCAGTTTTGAAACTGGAGTACACTGGGCATCTAGTGACAGATCACTAGATACCCAAACCCACACAGAATTTACAACAAGATCTGAATGTATTTTGCATTCAGCATGAACCAAGTGCCTGCTATGCTTGACTTGATAGCCATCTTCTAGTTCTTTCCCGTGGCCTACCTAACACCAACGAACCCTGGTTAGTGCCTAGTGGTTCTCAGGAATTACATCTGAATTATGCAGCAAAACATTAAGGCAACACACACAAAGCTACACCCAGTTCCTTTTCTGGGCACGACGAGGAAAGCCTTTGCTTCAGCCACACACACTTACCATCACTCTCTGCCCTGACTAGCAGGGACATGCCCTTGAGCCTCTCCACGTAGCAAGAGGACACATGCCCTGTGCCTCGATCATCCCACTGGCGATCCTCGTTTAGCGTGTAAACCTTCACCCTCCGCCGGGTGTCAGTCATCCTGCCGCCTGCCACTCCGCAGCCACCGCTCTGGCTCGCAATCGCTGGGGGAGCAGAAGGCTGGTCGGGGGCTAGGCCCCCCTCAGAGGAGGGGCGCGGGAGAGAAGGTAGCAGCCCCACACGGGCACGCCAAGCAACGTCTTCTTAGCTCTCTTCAGTGCCCCAACGGGATCCTCATTATCGAGGGGAACAGAGGGTTGGGGGTCGCGGGGGAACAAGGACAGAGGCGAAGGCGTGAAAGGGGAGCTGCTCCTCCAGGCACGGTCAGGCGCTGCACAAAAGGCGAGTAAGCCTACGCAGGGGAGAGCCGCAGAGAGGAGCGAGGCTGTGTGCGGGGCGAAGGGCAGGCGGGAGAGGCGGCGAAGCAGCGATCCCGGAGGAGCGGTGGATCCGCGGCGGACAGTGACCGGCGGCGGCGGCCCCGG